ATCCCACATAGTTGAAATTTAGTACACTTTGACCAACATTTCTCCATTTACCCCTCCCTGACAGTTCCTGAAAACTACCATCCTACTTTCTATTTTCATGAATTTGACTATTTTAGATTCCACATATTAGTGAGATCATGAAATACATACCATAAGTTTATTCTGAGGCTTTGGTAAATCACCACTTCTCTGTGTGCTGGTATTCTGAGTTTGTCTTGCCATGAAAGATTCTTTCTAGAACATGATAAAATTCAATATCCCTGGGGCTGGGGCTGGGGCTCAGTGGTAGCGCACTTGCCTGGCATGTGTGAAGCACTGGGTTCGATTCTCAGTATTGCATATAAATAAATAAAATAAAGAAAGGACTATCCACAATTAAAACAATGTTAAAAATTCAATATCCCTTCATAATAAAAGCTCTGAACAAATTAGGTATAGAAGAATCATACCTCAACATATTTAAAGCTATATATGACAAGCACACAGCTGACATATTGAATGTGGAAAAGCTAAAAGCATTTATTCTAAGATTGGGAACAAGACAAGGGTGTCCATTCTCAACATTCTTATTCAATGCTGTACCAGAAAATTTTAGCTAGAGGAGTTAGATAAGAGAAAGTAAAGAAAAAACATATAATAGGAAGGTAAGAAGTCAAATTATCCCTATTTTCACATGATATAATTCTATACATAGTATAGTCCAATAACTCCATCAAAAGACTATTAGAGCTGATAGATGAATTCAGTAAAGTTGTATGATACCAATTAACAGGCAAAAATCAATAGTTTTTCCAGGTGCTGTGGCACATGCCTGTAATCCCAGCAGCTTGGGAGGCTGAGGCAGGAGGGATCACAAGTTCAAATGTAGCCTCAGCAGTAGCAACTTTAAGGCTTCATATACATGCACATGGAATTTTTTCCCCTTTTTGTGTCTTTTCAAATTTCTTTCATCAGTGTTTTATAATTTTTATTATAGAGGTCTTTTACATCCTTGGTTAAATTAATTTCTAGATTTTTTTGTAGCTACTGTGAGTGTAAATGCTTTCCTATTATCTTTCTCAGAAAGCTCATTATTGGTGTATAAGAAACTATTGGTTTTGGTTTTGGTTTTTAATCAGGAATTGAACCCAGGGGTACTTAACCACTGAGCCACATCACCAGCCCTTTTTTATATTTTTATTTTGAGACAGGGTCTTGCTAAGTTGCTTACAGCCTTGCTACTGCTGAGGCTACATTTGGTCAGAAAACACATAACAAAAACCAAACCAAATCTAAAAAATAATAGCTTCGTGTCTTTAAGTCTGAAAAACTGTTAGCACTTGAAAAATTTGAAATATAAATAACAGAACTCTTAAGATTTTTAAAGGGAAATTAGAAATTTGGAGAATGCAAAGTACTGTACCATGATTCACTTTTCTTTTTACTGATATGCCCATGGTTTCCCTCCCATCCACTATCTGGACTATTTTGAACTCTCATTTAATCATTTAGTTTCTTATTTTGATTACAAAAATAAGTTTTCTGTGTTCTTTCAAGCTGTTTTGGGACAACGTTCATTACAGAAAGGTTGGTTGGGCTAGGCCCATCTCTGGGATTTCAGCTTAGAGTGAGGGGCAGAAGCTTATTCTTTAGGGATACAATGGGGTGTGGGGAGAGGGTAATATTCATGAGGTCAGAATGGGAGGAACTGGAGCCAGGAGATTTGATCCTGTCCCTCCATTGACAAGAGCACACAGAAAGTGACACACACACACACACACACACACACACACGAATGTTTCTATAATGACAGGCTCTGCGTGTGCTGGGAGGAAAGGTTTGCAAAACAAGTTAGTGAGCAAGGAGTGCAGGTGGGGCTGGCCTAGTTCTCCTGCCTTTGCTCACAGTCTGGGAGGCTCAGAAGACTCCCCTGAGAAATTGACCTCAGAGCCTGAGGTCAGAGTGGAAATAACTAGGCCCAGGAAGTGGTGAGGGGAGCAGAGGGGCCAGCGCTCCCCAGGCAGAGTGAATTGCTTGTTCAGAGGCTTTTGGCAGGAAGAAGCTGTGTATAGTTAGAGGAACTGAAAGCTGACAGGCTAAGGTGCAGAGCAAGTGAAGCTGGAAGGCAAGATGGTGTTCAGAGGTTATTCAGAGTTGAGCAGGGAGGGCCTGTGTGATCCTGTGGGCCATGCCGTTGTTTTGCTCTCCTGACAAAGAGCCACTTCCCGGACCAGGCAAAAGGTTAGGGGGTGGTGACGAGGTGGAAATGTAGAGAGAGAGCCACTTAAGAGATGTAAGGTAGAGCCCATCTGGCATGGGAGAGGGTCAGCAGCTAGCTACCCAGGCTCTGACTGAGTAAAGAAGGGATCCTCGTCCAGGTGACAAGGGCTCTAAGCCACTGTTGTTGTCAGATTCTTATTTTCAGTGTGAGGAATGGGTACTTGGCTTTCCAGGTTCACAGATGCACACTTTAATTTTATGTCTTTTCTTTGGAATAAAAGGAGGAGGAGTGAGCAGGAGGTAGAAGAGGCAGCCAGCAGAAGGAGAGGCCTGCAGGAGGGGTGAGAGGTGGAGGGGAATGTAGGGGAGCACCCATACAGTCAGGCATATTACTGTAAGTGGGCAATAGCATTATGTGTGAAAAAGATGTGTATCCATTAATTAAAATATTTTATTGCTAAAAACTGTTTAAGATCATCTGAGCTGTTGGGAAAATGGTGCTAATAGATTTCCTCCATGCAGGGTTGCCACACATCTTCAAATTCCACAAAATACAGCATTAAAGTGAAGTGCAATGAAATATGCTTGTATCCCCCCTCCCCCCGCCAAAAAAAAGAAAAAAGAAAAGAAAAGGAAACCCAAATAAGAAACAAAAATAAAACCTAAAGGGAGTCAGGAAATCAGAGAAGACGCTGGCTCAGAAGATACCAAGGGCCATCATAGGAAGAAAGAGAAGCTGGGAAACACTGAAATGGAGGAATCTTGGGATATGAACGCTCTAAAGAATGCCAGTCTAGTCAAACTCTCTCAATGTGCCACTGAGAAAATCACTTTCAATGTTTTACTTTATATAAATATAATCCTTACACTTGTAAACATTTTGGAAGACTTAAAAGGGCAAAGCCAATTAAAATCACCCATAGTTCTTTCCACCTGGAGACATCCACGGCTAAGCCCAAGCCTTTCCTCCCTTTTTCTTTGCATTTTTAACACTGTCCGAGTTGTGACATATATACACCTTGACGTACTTTTAAAAACACTAAGAGAACAGTTGTAAAGCATCCCAAGTTCTGTTTCAAACGGTTTAATGAGCGAAACAGATGCTAAGACCAGGTGATTGCGAAATCTAGCGTAGGAGCGCTGGGACTCCTCCCCCCCATCAGGGTACTGGGAAGCTGGAATAGCCTAGAGCCAGAGGGACCTCCGGCAGAAGAGCAGAGCGCCGGCCGCCCGGAGTGAGTTTGTTGCCCAAAGCGGAGCGAGCTGAGCCTGCAGGTGGCGAGGCGTGCAGAGGAGCGCAGAGGGCTTTGCCCAAAGTTGCGCGGGGAGCCCTCGATGTTTCTACGCCTGGCGACATGGGATGCGCGTGGTTCCTGCTGTTGTGGGTGCTTTCCGGAAATTATGAGGGTGAGTGGAACCAGGGCGAGGGGAAGCTCGCCCTAGAGCACAGAGAAAAGAGGTTGCACTGGGGTGAGGGAGACCCACGATGGGGGCAAAGGAGTGAGGCTTGGTCTCGGGATCCCGGGCTCAGGGAGCCAGCAGAGAACCTGCTCTGGCCTCGGAGACGTGGCGCTGCTCGGGGCTCGCAATCACCACTCGTGCGTCCCAGTCTCCTTTCGTGAGGCCGTTTCCCGGCCCCTCCCCCCGCTTCTCATTATGCTGTCTGCTCCGTAGGCCACTCGCTGTACACTTCCAAGCTTCACTCATTCTCAGTCCCGCAAAAGAATTTCACCTTCCTCTGGCTCCAGACCTCGTCCTTTCCCAGCAACACCTCCACACGCGCGGAGGGCGTGGCGTGGCTGGGGGAGCTGCAGACGCACAGCTGGAGCAACACCGCTGACACTATTCGTTTTGTGAAGCCCTGGGCTCGCGGCACGTTCAGCAGCCAACAATGGGACAAAATGCAGCACCTGTATCTGGGCTTCCGAAGCAGTTTCACAAAAGACATTCGGAAGTTCGCTAAAATGCTGCGATTCAAGTGTGAGTTGAGGGATGGGATCCTGGGCGGGCACTTGAGGCTTGAGAATGAGCATAGAAAGAAGAGAAGACTCTGCTCCCACCAGATGAGATTCTTCTGTTTTTGAACCTCTTCAAATTTCCACTTCTGCCTGGAGATGCTCCTGTTTCTTCTGAAAACAACACCTTGTTCCTGCCTACTCCTGACCACCAACTCTTATTTCCCTCCACTGTGGGTTCTCAATATAACTCTCAGAACAGTTTCTTCTCCTTTGTCCCGGTCTTTTAAACCCTTCTTTGATTTCTACACGTTTCTCTCCACAGATCCCATGGAGCTGCAGCTGTCTGGTGGCTGTGAGGTGCACCCTGGGAACATCTCAGAACACTTTCTCCGTGTAGCATATCAAGGAGAACATATCCTGAGTTTCCAGGGAACTGCTTGGGAGCCTGTCCTACAGGCCCCCCAGTGGGTAGATTTGGTCATCAAAGACCTCAACCAGGACCAAGGGACAAGGAAAACAGTACAGTGGCTCCTCAATGACATCTGTCCAGAATATGTCAATGACGTCTTAGAGACAGGGAAGTCAGAACTGGAGAAACAAGGTCCACCTGTTGTCCTCTCCTCCTGTTACTCAGGCTTCTTCTAGGTTTTGCCATCCCAGGGTTTGCTTTCCTTTAAGCATCAGACAAAGAGCAAGACATAGGGGATGGATAAGGCATGAGGGTATTTGTTCATATCAC